TTGGCGGGAGGAGAGAACCCCGAAGGCGCGGCTGAAAGGCTCTGGGCGGCCCCTTCCGCAGGCAGCGCGCTCCGACCGACCGCACGGCCAAGTTTCGCAGCCTGACAGATGGGGATGAGCGGCGGCCCACCCTGACTCTTCCAGACGGTCCATGCACTCAGTGATCCCCACCATTCCTCGGCCCCACAGAGCACCCCTTGGTGCCAGAGGCCCTGCGGCCCACGAGCCGATCTGCGCGGGAGGAGGCGACACAGGCCGAGCAGAGGCGCAGCCCTCTGGACCCTCGGCTCCTCTTCCCTCCTGGCCTTTGGGGCACCAGCGCTGGGGCCTCTCTGGGACGCCTTCCAGGCATAGGGGACGGAAAGGCACCCGGGAGGCCGATCTGGCTACTCTTTGTTCCTCCTTCAGAGCACAGCGTGGGGCTCAGCCCTGAAAGGGGGGCCCCCTCTAGAGCAGGGAGGTGTCCTGGGCTCTGGACCTAAGGCTCCCCTTCCCGGAAAGCCAGCCCTGGTGTCTCTGGGGCACATGGAGGGCCTAGGAGTGGGGGGGTCCCCTGCCTCCTGCAGGCTTGCTGCTCAGGCCTGGACCGGACCTGCGCCCGGTCCTCAGGGGCAGTAGGCTTGGCCCACACCTGTTCCCCCAAGGCTCTGGAGTCATTCTGCCCCCCCTTCCTCCATCTCGGGGCTCCCCAAATTCCCACACTGAGGAGGTGGCCGGCACTGGTCGCCCGAGAACCCTGCTAACGACAACAATAATAGTACCCGTCATCCCCGGCCTCACCAGCCAGCGCCAAGCACTGCGAACCACGCCTGATTAAATCTCATAATTAGGAGCCACTTTAATGAATATTGTTACATTTCAGGCGATTTCAAGAACGGCCTTTTATTTTCCGTGGGCAGGCAGCAAAACTACGGTGAAGCGTTTTAAATTCACAACCTGACTGTGTAGCGGGGCTCACCGACACGCCCACGCGCCCCCCTGTCCGCTGCCGGGGCGCACCGGGCGCTCCCGCCCGCTCGGTCCCCAGCCCGCAGCTCCACGGCGCCCGCCCGAACCGCGGGGCCCGGACCTGCCTCGGCTCGCGGGGCGCCGGGCGGGAGAGGCGCCGGGCGGGTGCGGCTGTGGGAGCAGAGGGCAGTGGGCGCTGCGCCCCGGCCCTGGGTCGCCGAGCCCGCGCGCCGGCCTCCGGGGCCGCTCCCTGCGGCAGGCGGCAGGTTTCGGCGGAGCCGGGACGTCCCGGGGCCGCCCGGGGCGCCGCGGGGGCAGGCGCAGGCGGAGAGCGCGGAGGTCGGACTCTACGGGAGCCGGGGCCGGGACCGGGGCCGGGGCCGGGGCCGGGGCCGAACGACCCAGCGCGCAGCAGCAGCGAGCGCGCGGCCTCCCCGCCTCCGGGCGCCCCGAGCGAGCGTCTTTGCATTCGGCGTCCGCGGAGGCGTCCTGAGCGCCGCGCGCCCGCACACCTGCGCCCGCCGGCTGGAAGCCGCGTCCCTCTCACCTTTTCACTCAAGGAGAACCCTAACACGGTGGGAGTCCCCTTGGAGCCTAGACCGGTGTCCCCGCGCGGCTCCTTCCTTGTCTCCCCTGAAAAAGACACGGGGCGGGTCCACACGGGGTGACCCCCGGATCCGACCACGTAGGGCAGGCGCAAGAGGAAGGCCCTCTGAACCCTCAGGGGCCCTGCTGGGCCGCTCTACCCGGCGCCCCCGTGGGAGCAATACGCACCCCTGTCCACACCTGCAGGCCCGCCTAGATTGTGGACTCAGCCGGGCCTGGGGGGCGGCAGGCCTGCGCCGGAAGGAGGAGGGCTTGCCCCCGAAGAACGCGTCTGCGACTGGCCTTCCGCAGGGGCAGCAGCCTGGCCGAGGTCCAGCGGGAGGCTCCAGCAACTCTCGGCGGCGCTGCGGTCCCGGGCAGGGTCCAGGGCTCCGTAGGCCGCCAGTCCAGGAGGAAGGAGCAGGCTCCCGAGTCGGAAAGGAGCCTTGCCTCCCCTGCAGGCCTGGCTCTGGGCTCGACTTGCCGCTAAGTGAGAGAGACGGTGGCTCTTCATGAGTCTCACACTTGGATTCTATGCTGAATTTTCAAATAAACATAGGAGCAAGATCAGAATCTCAGCATTTCGAGGGTCTGGGGGTTCACTCAGCCCAAACCCCTACCCAGAAACAAAAAAGAAAAACTCCTGATGCCACTGCAGGAGAAACGTTTGCTTGCACTCCTTTGAGGATGGGGAACTCATTACCTTACAAAACCGTGCATTGCCCCTCAACGTTATGATTTGTGAATTGATGGAAAGAACAAGAAAGATGGATTTGTGTAGTTATGCTGCCTTTTTATTAAAAAGAGAGAGTGGCCAATTAGGTAATAGAAGCCCCATCCTAAAGAATCCTCAGAATGGTACAGGGGGAGGGGAGAGACGCTAGGGTTGCCTAAGTGATTACACCCCATTGACAATGACCCTGGAGCACTCCTGGGACCAGGCAGCTAGGGCCCCAGAGCCTCTCTCTTGTTCATTCCTTGCATCTTTGCAAATCTTGGGAGCAGCCAGCCCCCCTCTCCTGCCTGAAGGCCCAGCTTTCCATTGGGAAGCCTATGTAGACCCCAAAAATGCCTACCAGGTCTCCTTTGGCAGCAGATGATCCTCACTAGTCTCTGAGCTTCTTTTACTGGAAGAACAATCTTTTTCAAGGCTGGAAAGTCTGGACATAGACCAATTGGGCACCCAGGGTGCACTCCACCATCCTGCCTGGCCACACTGACCCTCACCACCCTCCCCAAAACACTATCCGGATGGATGCTTTGAGTCGTCTGGTCAGCTTGGGCTAAGTCTGTCCTTTTCCCCACATCTGCCTTGGGATATGTCCATGTCCTTTGCTTTGGGGGCTAAAAACAAAAGAGGAGAGCCCTCCCCATGGGACCAGTGTCTCTGTCCCTCCCATTGGAACAGTGGAGAGGATGGCCACCTGTTGCTTTCTGTAGGATTTTCAACAATTATGCAATTATGGAATAGTACCATACTTTTAAACAGTTCCTTCTGGTAAAGAAATGTACTTCAATTACTTTGGTGGTTCTATGCTCACACAGGAGATATTTGAAGCATCTTTTTTTTCTTTTCTTTTCTTTTCTTTTTTCTTTTTTTTCTTTTCTTTTCTTTTCTTTTTCTTTTTTTTCACCTCCCTGCTCCGATGGCAGCAAAGGCCAGGAGCACCAGAGCGGTTGGGCTGGACTTAGAAACACACTTAGAACAACTAGTCATTCCACCTCGGACATCCAATATTTTACAATAAAGCAATTTTTTTTATTTAATGTAACTTTCAAGAATTTAAACACACAAAAAAATGCAAGGGGAATGTTCACAATGCTGATAACCACAGTTGTAAATAGAAACATTCATTTCTCATAAGATTATAAATATTTGATACTGGGACTGTAAAATGCACGTTTCATAAACTAAAAAATAAAAATAAAAAAATAAAAACCAAAAACCTTTGCTTCCTGCTAAAAAGGCATATCATTTCATTGAGTTTCCTAAGCAGCAGATGGTTATTCACAGAATTTTTAAATTACAACTTTTCTTTTTATAGTTTCCTTTTTAAAAAGGTTTGCACTAGTATGTACAAAGTGAGACTATTATCGCAGTGAAATAAAGAGGTTTAAGGCAAAGAGAGAAGTTCAACCTCAGCCCTCAGGGGTTCAGCGTGGGTCTGGCTCAGCCATGGGCACACCCCCTGGGCTGTCCTGGCTGCGGATGGACATTTGGACACGATTCTTTTTCCATACACTAGACAGGAGACAGTGCAGAGTTATATATATAGATAATGTGTTTGTTTATATATATGTACTTGGTGGGGATATATTGAATATATTTAATTTACACTGTACCACACCTTCAAAAATAAAATGTATATTAAAAAAACAAGAAAAGACAAAAAGTGATAAGAAATGATTATTTACATATTTTCTTCCTTCCTTTCAATCCTGGAGGATTCTGAGTTCCATTAAAAATCAAGGTAGCCACATGTTCCAGAACTATGGACTCATACACATTTGCTCGTGTGTGTGTACATGCAGTACATAGATTATGCACACACACATACACATTTACCTTGAAAGAATGCTCTCCAAAACATGAGGCAGCCACTAAAAAAAAATTTAAAAAAATTTTAAAAAAAAGGAAGGGAAGAAAAAAAAAAGGAAGAAAAGAGCAGGTCCCTCTCGGGAGCTCTCTGCCTGCCCAGAGGCAGCAGACCTCAGCCACCTCTGGGGCCCATGCAAGTGCCTGGGTGAGCCAGTGGGGCCTCAGGAGATTCCCGGGGCCCGGAGGGCTGAGGGGCAGCTCTACCACTGCTGGTCTCCGCCACAGGCTGGGCCCACTGGCCTGGGATCCCTGAAGTGGGGCCTGGAGGCCAGAGGGCTGGCTCTGGCGGCAGGCGGCTTGGTAGGGGACAGCAACAGACAAGACGGACGGACGAGAACAGAAGCACACAGAGAGGTGCTGGGAGGTGCTGGCCAGGCCTTGGTGAGAAGGAAGAGAGGAGGAGGAGGAGGAGGAGGAGGAGGAGGAGGAGGAGGAGGAGGAGGAGGAGGGAAGGAGGAGGAGGAGGAGGAGGAGCACCCAGAGAGAAGGCAGGAGGAGGGGAGCTGGGTGAGGCTGGGGGCCTGGGTGGCCCAGCACTATGGACCCAGGGTTCCCCAGGGGGTGCGCTCCTGACCACGGCCAGGCCCAGGCCGCACACTCCTCCCAGGACCCCAAAGGTCACCTGGCCCAGCCAGGGCCCCTGCCCTCCCCACTTGGGCCGGGGCCAGGGCTGGGGGCGCAGACCCTCCTGCTGTCCTCACTGAGCCCACACAAACAAAGTGGCAGAACTCAGAGACCAAGTAGGAGCTATTTATTCGGTTCACAGTCGTGTGAAATGCAGCAATAAAAATCTTTGGACTTCAGCAAGTTGTTTTAATTTTTTTTCTTCTTTTGAAATTAAAAAATAAAAGTGTCCCATGTCCCACAACGGAGCCTAGGGGATTAGAAAAGATGAAACCCTAAGCAGCCCCCTTCGCAAACAAAACATAAAAATCATAAAATTAGCATAATCTCATAAACACAGAAAAACTCAAAAAATACTTTATAGTCAGATATTTTGGATTTTACACCACCTGTAAATTATATATACATAGAATATTGCAGAACCATAGCTAATACACGATATCTTCACTATGAATGCTGGTATAATCTTTATACACTGGCCCTTGATGATTTTAAATTATTGCATTGTTGAACGCGGACTGAGACCAGACTCTGGGGCCCGCCCGCCCTACTCGCTGTCCGACTTGCCCTCCTTGGCGGTCGTTGAGTGGTTGTACAGGCCCTGCGCCATGAGGTGGACGGCCAGCGTGTTCTTGTTGCCCGTAGCCTTCTTGATCTTGGCGCGCTTGTTCTGGAACCAGATCTTGATCTGTGACTCGTTGAGGCTGAGCTCCTGCGCCAGGCTCTGGCGCCGCTGCTCAGTCAGGTACCTGTTGGTCTGGAACTCCGCCTTGAGCCTCTGCAGCTGCTCCGCCGTGAAGGCGGTGCGGGGCCGCTTGTCCTCTTTGTTGGGGTTCTTCTTCTTTGGTTTGCGAGATCTGGGACCTGGGTGGGCACGGTGGACAGAGGACATGGTGGTTAGGAGGGTTGGGGCCTGCCTGCCTACTCAGGGGGAGCAACAGAGGGGCGCAGGGGCTGGGGAGGAAGGCGCCCAATTGGTCGGGGCCTGCTGGCATGGCTTGCTCTCTCCAGCCTCAAGGACCCACCCCACGAAAGGGGTGGAAAGCCAGAGGTGGGCCGAGGAAATCTGGGTGCAAGGGGCTTAGTGCGGGTACAGGGAAGGCTTAGTGGGAGGGTCTCCAGGGGTGCCTGGCTGGCTCAGGGCAGGGAGCCTGGAGTTCTTGATCTCGGGGGTCAGAGTTTGAGCCCCACATGTGGCCTAGAGTTTGCATAAGGTTAAGAAAGAAAGAAAGAAAGAAAGAAAGAAAGAAAGAAAGAAAAAGAAAGATCGATCTCTAGATAAAAGGGAAAGTCTTACAGGAGGGCAAAAGCCCCAAACTTCCTAGCATGGCGTCTTTCTGTCCAGGAGTAAGGACTGGGTGGCGCAGGAGGGGGAAGAGGGACGCTGGAGGAGGGGCGGGCTGCCGGGCTGCGGGAGCAGCAGGAGGAGCCCAGGAACAGCACCGGATGCCCCCAGGGGCTGATACCCTCAGGGCTCAGGGGCAGTGGGCAGTAAGGGAGTCTGCCTCCACCCTGGCCCCTCTCTTCCCCTAACTGGCCTTGTGGGTCCCAGTTCATTGTTTCCTTTCCAGAGGGGAGACCGCACACACATCCTTCCTTTCCTGGATGGGGAAGGACCACAGAGCCACCTCCCGCTGAGGCTCCCAGTACAGGCACCCCCTCCTGGACTGGGGCTTCCCCAGTGGGAGCCACAGTGGAGCCCAGCTGACCTTGCATAGAGGGTCTCCTCCTGCTGGGATGCACCCCCTCCGCCCAGCACCACTGGAGGCTGGTCTGGGACAGGTCCTAGGACCCAGCCATCTGGAAAGGCCGGGATGAGGGGAGCAGAGAGGAGAGCCAATCCTTTCTTTATTGTTGGTGTCTCGAAGTTCAGCCCCAGGAAGGTGTCTTTGAGGGAAGAGACTGCAGAGGCCGCTAGGGGAGGGAGGCCGGGCTGCACATGTGTGGGTTTCTTACTCAGTACAGTGATCGAACTTTGGGGAGCTCCGGTCCCAGCTCTTCCCCAGAGGCCGATGGCGGGAGGCTGGACCCCTGCCCAACCCCTCCAGCAGCCAGAACCCCCCAGGTCTCCACAGCATGCCCACCGGCCCAGCCAGCAGGGCCAAGGGACAGCCCCACACCCTGCGCAGCGGCTGCAGAGGGAACTTGCCAGAGGCCCCCCCAGCTGCTGCTGAACCGACCTGGAGAGCGCGTGGTGCACCCCTGCTGCTCGGGCCAGGGGTGTGGGCCAGCCAGAGCTCCCTGCCCATCGGCCCGGCGGCGGCGCGCTCCGGGAAAACCACACTCTGGAAGACGGGCTGGGGACGCCGGCGACGGGGCGCCAAGCCCCATTGGGTGCAAACCCCTGGTCTTCCAGACTCTAGAGCAGACCCCCACCGAGCCCCGCGCCCCCACCCACCCCGAGCGCGCCCACCGTCCCGCCCCTGCTGCGCAGAAGCTGAGGGTGCTGGTTCCGAGCCGGCAGGAGGGCTGTGCTGGAGAGGCTGCCGGGGTGCGTGAAGGCTGGGGTGGCTCCCGGAGCCCTGCTCTGACCCGAGCGCGGCCTCGTGCTCTCGGGAGGCCCGTGCTGCGCCTCCCCGGCCCGGGCAGCACGCTCCCTACCCTCCCTACCCTCCATCCCCTCCGGTCCCGAGGGCTCTTGCACACGTGAACCGGCCCATAAGAAGATACACGGCATTTTGCAGAAACAAAATTTCCCTAAAATCGGGATTTTTAGTTCTCTTTCTTTGATTTTCTTTCAAAACGGAAACACTTAAGAGTCGCAGCAACAGAAGCAAACCTCAGCAAAGAAAACTCTCTGCCTTGCTTCTTTCTAAAAGGCCCAGAAATACACATGTTATCTTATGGGTTTAAGTCCGGGGATTCCATGAGCCGGGCCGGGCTGCGGGGCTCCCGCGGGCACCGGGCCTGACGCGGCCGCCACTCGACCGCCGCACAAAGCTGGGCCAAGCCTCCTCGCTGGCCGCATTGTGAGCCTCTATGTTAATTAAATATTAACAAAGGAGGGAGGCGAGAACAATGGAGCAAATTTCAGATCTAGCGGGAGAAATGTGGATTTCCTTGGAAATACACACACGGGTTTCTGCGGGAAGTCGGCCCAGGGGCGACTGGGTTGCGCTGATTTGGGTAAACATCCCCCGCCAAACAGTGGAGGGCTGGGGGCCGCCGGTTGGGGACAAATGGAGCCCGTTCCTAATGGCGGGTTCGCAGCTGCAGCACCTCCCCCCCCCCACCGCCACCCCATCTCAGGCAACGGAGGATTTCCATCAGGACATGCATTCAGCTTTTACAAACCTAGATCTATGGAGAATATACCCAGAACCTCTGCACACCCCCGCGGGCCCCTGCACCCCACCCGGCCCAAACTGGCTCTTTCCTCCCTGGAGCTGCCTGGGGAAACCTCTGCAAGCAGGTCCTTTATTTGGGGGGGGGGGGTGCGGGCCTCCGTCTTACCGGCCATGTGTAAGATGGGTGCTGAGCTTCCCCACCCGGCCAAGGGCACCTCTGTTTTACACCCCTTCCCTACTTCTATCCAACCCGCCCCCCCCCCCACACACACACACCCAGCCCAGGCCAAAGGAAGAGTCTGAAGCCTCGCTCCTTCTTTCTCTGGCTTCTTCTGGGATAACTGGGTTGGGGCGAGCTGGGCATGGGTCCTGGGTCTCTACTGAGTTGGAAGGACGGAGCCGAGAAATTGTTGAGTCCAGCTTCTAGGCCAGTCTTCCAGCCACCCACCTCTCACTCTCACCAAATAAACTCCAGGCAGGGGAGAGAAGAGCCGGGGACTTTGGGGAGTGGCCCCCAAAACAAGAAAGAGAGAGAGAGAGAGAATCCTGTCGCTTCTGCTTTTCTAAGCCGTCTGTATCCCCCTGCGATTCCGCCGTGCCCCCTCCCCTCCCTGCCGCTGCCCCGGCCGGCGTCAGGCGCACACAATGTCCCCGCTGGTGCGTCTTTGTGTGTGCTGGGGGTGGGGGTGCCGTCCTGGCGTCCTCTTCCCCGGGGTGAGTCCCCGGCCAGCGCCTCCCGCAACCCCGCGGGCCTCCCCGCCTGCCGCTCACCTGAAGAAGGCCGGTCCGAGTAGCGCGTGCAGTAGACCCAGGCCGGCCAGAGCATGGGCTGCGCGCCCAGGTTGGCGCCGGCCTGCGAGCTGTCCGAGTCCGAGCTCACCGACAGGTCTCCGCCGCCCAGGGCGCGGGCCTTGAGCGCCCCGTCCAGGGGGCCCCCGGCGTCGCCGCCTTTCTTGGCGCCGCCGTGCAGCGAGAGCGCCTTGGAGCCGCCTTCGCCGTCGCCCGGAGAGTCGCCGCCGCCGCCGCCGCCGCCGCCGCCACAGCCGCCGGGCAGCGGCCCGCCCGCCCCGGGCGCCCCGGGCGCGCTCTGCCGGGCCTCTCGGCCCGACCCCAGGAGCTGCTCGGCGCCGCCCGCGCCGCCGCCGCCTTCCGTGCCGCCCGCGCCGCCTTCCCCGCCGGCGCCGCTGCCTCTTCCTCCTCCCGCGCCGGCGCAACACGTCCCCGCGTCCTTCCTCCGGCCGAACTCGGGCCGCAAGATGTTGTCGATGAAGAAGTTGGTGATGCGGTGCGGGTGCTGGTGGTTGCCCGGCGCCTGCAGGGCCGCGGGCAGCATCAGAGCCCGCCGGCGGCCGGTGTCCGCGTCGCCCGGGCTGCCGCCGCCCCCCGAGCCGCCGCTGGGGCTGGATTCCGGCTGCCGCTGCCCCTCCGCCGCCGCCGCCGCCGCCGCCGCCGCCGCCGCCGCCGCCGCCGCCGCTTCGCTGGGCTTGGGGTCATGCTCCTCCATGCTGTTCGCCACAGACCCCAGATCGGTTCTCCGGGGCCCCCCTCCAACCAGCCCTCGGCCCGCCCGCCGAGCGCGCGGAGACTGTCGCGGCCGGCGCCCGCTCCGACCCCCCGGGGCTTCCGAGGGCGCGCGCGGCGGGGGCCCGGGCCGGGCTCCTGCGAGTCACCGGCCGCGCTCGGAGCGGAGCCACGTTCCAATCCACGAGCCGGGTCAGGAGCTACCAGGACGCCGGTGATTCAGAAGAGCAGGGTCCCCGTCTCCGCCGCGCGCCGGGCGCTAGACAGTCACAGCCGGCCGGCGGGGACCCGGGGCTGCTCCGCGGCTCTGCGCTCCGCTCCCGCGCGCGGCCGCCTCCGCCGCCGCCGCCGCCGCCGGTGCCGCCGCTGCCGGTGCTGCTGCCGCCGCGGCCGCCCGGGCTGGAGCTGCGCGCATGCAGGCAGCGCGCTCCCCGGCGCTCACGCCCGCCCGGGCCCGCTCGGGCCGCCGCCGCCGCCGCCGCCCGGCCGCCCCCGCCCGCGCGCCCCGGCCGGCCCTCGAGGGTGCGGGGCGCCAGCGGTCAGCGCGCCCGCCGCCGCCGCCAGCACGCACATGGAGGCCCGCGGGCCCGCGCTGCGCTCGGCCGCCGCCCCGCTGCGGGCCGGGGCGCCCCACCGGCGTGCGGCCGCGCCCCCGCCGAGCCCCGCCGAGCCCCGCGGCCCGACGCGCATGGGGGAGCGGCGGGAGGCGCGGGCTGGGCCGGGCCGGGCCGGGCCGGGCCGCGCCGCGCTGGGCGGCCCCCGCTCCCTCGCCGTCTGCGCGCCCTCGCCGCCTCGGCCTCCGCGCGGGCTCGGGCGGCTTCCAGGCCACTTAGCGCAACCCGAGACACTTTCGCTCTGGATTTTTGTTCTTATTTTTAACAGAGCCCCCTCGAGTGACGTCGCGGGCCGGTCTCCTGGACACGTGCCTCGGGCCAATGGCCGCAGCGCCGCGCGCCCACGTGACGCGCCGGCGGCCGCTCGGTGACAGGAGCCGCCCGCCGCCCCTCCCCCCGCCGCCGCCCCTCCCCCCCTTAAAGCGGCCGCGTCCGCGGGCTCCGCGTGCGGGCGCCCCGGCCCCCTGAGCCCGCGACCGCGTTCCCTGCGCTCGCCCGCGCTTCCCCGGCCGTCTCTCGGCTCGCGGACGCCCGGCGCCCCCGCGGCGGCCCCGCCGGGTCCTCCGGGTGTGCGTCGGCGGACACGCGCTGGAAGATCGCTATTTTTAACATTTCCATATTGTTTACCGTGGGGAAAAATCCCACAATTCCTTGCACAAAAATGCATAAATAATATTAAATGAGCTGCCGACGTACAAAGGGACTTTTGTAGTCTCCTTTCCTGCTGGCGGAGGGGGAACTGTCACTTACACTTGACTTTGGTAACCTGGCAGATTCCCGACTTAACCGCAGAGCTGGCGCGCAGGACCCTCCTCCCGTAGACACTCCCTGTAAGTGTGCATGTGTCTGTGCGTGTGCGTGAGCGGGGAGGCGCGTGCACACGGCGCGAGTCCACCCGGGAACGCCGGTGCTCGTGCAGCCTGCGTGTAGACCCCGAGGAGCGAGCGCGTGGGGAAGGAGCCGTAAAGGGAGCATGGCAGGTTAGCCCTGAATCTTCTCTTTTGGAAAGGAGAGGAGGAGGGTTGACGATTCAGTGAAACCTTCAACGCCATCCAGAGAGAAGACCCCGGAGCGGCCGTGGCCCCGCGGGTTCTCAGACCACCCTCCCACCCCCACATCTCTACCCCCACCGAGCGGCTGGCTACCAGGCCCTTCACCTCGTTTTCTTTGTCCTAAAATCCCTTAAACGAGTTCCTCCTCGGGAAAACGGGGGGTGGACGGCTGAGGGCTCCAGTTCCCTTCTCTGCACTCCCCCCCCTTTTTTCTCTACGCCTTTCTAAATTTGCTCTCCAGTCCCGTCAGATGTCCACCTTGAACTTCTGTTTCCTCTTCTCCTCCCCCTCCTCCTTTAGGCTCCTTCCGGTTTGCTCTTCCCTCCTCCCCCTGCTGCAGATACCCCACTGAACATCCCTGTCCCCCTAAGCTTGGCTGTCCCACAATGAAAATGCATTTTTATGGAAATTTGGAAACTTCGGGAGGCCTCGGAGAGGCCGGCTCCAAGGCTTTAGGAGCCGGACACAATAAAAGTACTCCCGGTGGAAGGAGGAATGGGGAGGAGGAGGGAGGAAGGAGCACTCGGGCTTTGAGGCCCACTGCAGAGAAGCTCCAGTCCCGGGGCTGCCAGTGGGGCACTGCCAGGCTGGGCAAGCGGCCCTCTCGACTGTGACAGTGGGGTGTCCGAGCCACCTTGAGTGTTGACGGCCTCACCCTAGCCTGACTGGGCTCTCTGCCCATCATACCCAGGTTCTGTGCTCTTTCCTATCCACTCTGTCCACTCCCTGCAAGCTCCAGAGTGCAGGCCTGTGGGGGAAAAGAAACAGCAGTTACAAGGGTTCTGTTCCCAGGCCAATTAACCCTCTGAGGGGGTACCTGGGTGGGGGACAGGAGAAGGTGATGGGCTGGGTCAGCTGGCCAGTAAAGGTGGACTGCTTGTTTGTAGGCTCCAGAGGTAGATGGAAAGGTTCACTGATCCTCTGTGAGACTCAAACAGGGTAGAGAAGGCAATTCTCACCTGGGGTGACTCACATCTACCACCTCCCTCGCCCCCCCCCCCCCCCCCGTTTCCTCCTATTGGAGGGGTCCTTGCCAAGTTATCCAACTAGGTACATAACTGCCAGGGGCCCTCCCTGAGTCTCAAAAAAATCAAACCTCACAGTCTGCCTACCCCTAGGAAAATGGGGCTGGTGAGGTTTGAGGGAATACCCTATCCACTCGTGTTGATGGTTTTCGGGGAAATTTTCCTGCAACTCTGAGAACCCTAATCATCACCATCCAGGGAATGTCCAATTACTTAGGGTCTTCAGAACTCGGAGGGAGCGGAGGGAAGGCCCAGGGCTGGTCTGCTTCCTGCAAAGCCATCCCAGGTTAATTTCTCCACCTGTCCCATGAAAAATCAATTAGGCCGTCTCCTGAGAAATATTTTCTAATTTCTGGGGGAAACTTTGCCTCTGATTGCCTTAGCATTAAGCGAGCCCACGGGGCTGGACTTCCACTGTGTTCTTTCCTGCAACCCAGACCCATATTTATGGCCGCAACAGGAAGTCTGAAAAGCAGCACGCTATCCCCAGGCAAACCTAGCCTGCTTGTGGGCAGCAACCTTTGGACACCAGGTCTCCAGGGTCAGGCTGGTCTGAGGAAGAAGGCTGGGAGAGGGGAGCCAGAGGTGCAGCAGCAGGAAGAGAGCAAAAAGGAAGGAATATGGAATTCGAGTATCAGGCCCCCCAAAGCCAACGCAAACATGACAATAATTCCCGAAAACAGCGCCCCTTGAGAGTGAGCACCATACAAAGGGCCAGGGGGGCAGGGGGCAGGGGGCAGGGAGCAGGGGAGTCTGGGCCCAAGTTGCCCAAGTTGAGGGAATTCTAAATCTTACAACATGGGTGTCTCAACAAGCAGTCTCAGGAAGGTCCAGCTGGGCCTCCTGCGGAATCCGGTACACCAGCCTGGCTGTGCTTTTTGGGGGGCGTGGAGGAGGTGGTGGGGCATCTGCAAGTCCCTCTCGTGGAGCACAGGGATGCCTGCCCTGCAGCCGTTTTGCCCCGCGGGCCTGCACCCCCTACTGCCTGACCCTGCCGGCCGCCACCGCTGCACTCTGGTCGGCTTCTCGGTGGGCGAACTGCTGGCCAGAGAGCCACCGCTGGACGTTTGTCTGTCCCTGGTGGAAAGTGAGGCGGAGGCCAGGAAGCTCGAATACTCCCACTCTCTCAGGTGCAGGGGAGCGTCCTCAAACCACCCACTTTCAGAGAACTACCTCCGTACTTCCTGGGCTATCTGCACAAAGACGGGCCAGGGAAGAGCATCCAAAGGAAAGGGCTTCCAGACACGTCAATTTAGAATAGAGACGCTAGTATCACAAATAAAAGCTGGCGCATGGCTGCGGATGGCAGCCCATGGCAGGAGCGTTCCTGTGGAGGTTAGGTGCCTGGCTGCAGATGCAACCTCCTTTTTCTCCCCCCTAAAAGAAGGCTGGGGGAGGGTGACTTTTCCGGCAGCTCTGTTGTCCTCTCACTTCCCACACTTGTCTAGGTGGGTGTGAGGACACTTGGGAAAAAAAACAAAGGTGGTGAGAGGAGCCTTCGCTTGCAGGGGTCCCTGCCACTCCGCTGGAGGAGATGCCCAACGATTCCAGACAGTGAGACTTTGACCCCAACAAAATCAGCCCGGAGGCCCCTGCACCCCCTTGGTAGAGAGATGGCTCCTCACGGCCTGGCCCTGGGCCCCCGAGCCGAGCCGAGCTGAGCTGGGGAAGTTGGGCCGAGCAGAGAGAACCGTCCCCAGCCTGCCGGACCACCGGACAGCCGGACAGCTACCCTTGGTGCCGTGGCCATTCCAGGCCTGCAGACAAAGGTCTAAGTGAAGGGGCCCCAGGAGCAGGGAGTGGGTTGGGTGGGGCAGCAGGCAAAGGGAGCCTGTTGGTGCTCACCTCCAAGGGAAATACTGGCCTATGGATCCAGCTGGCAAACTTGGGGCCCAGGGTTGTGGAGGCTGGGCCTGGGGTCTGGGGCCTCAGCTGGGTAACCCCAGGAAGGAAGGGGTTAAGCACAGCAGGGGCAAAGCCTGGGAGAGGCTAAAGCTGGTAGGGAGCAGAGGCACCCAGGCTCCTGGGTCCTATGCTCCAGGCCTCACGCCTCCCTCTGTCCCAGGCCAACAAGAGTCATCCAGCTCCCCAGAGGCACTGCCAGGTTCCACGGAGAGCCTGGTGGGCAGGGGGTGGCCAGGGAGGCTGGGCTGAGGAGGGCCACACCGGGCTGCAGGCAGCACTGGCTGCCTGGGCTCTGCTTGGAGAGCTGGAGAAGTGGCAGCTTGTGTTCAACAAAAGCTCCCTGGGTGTCAGAGGGTACCAAGTGTGACAGACACCCCCACTGGAGAACACTGCCCTGTCCAGACCACAGGGAGAGGTCCTCATGTTGATGCTTAGCTCAAGAGCTAGCCTGGGAGAGCCGGGGAGATGGGTAGAGGATGGGCAGATCTCCAGAGCTAGAGACTACGGTGCACAAAGCGTCCCTAACCTCATTTCTCTTGAAAACAGAAGCTTCTAAAGGGGGATGTGTAGGCTGGCAGTGCTAGTGCTGCCGAACTCACGCCGAACTCCGAACACCGTCTTGGCCCATGCCTAACCTCCCTTGACTTTCTCCATGGCCAGGTGACTCGTGGCTTAAGCGACCAGACTTGGGGATTCTTTGGGAATCACTTTGCATCCTGGAGGCCCCTTTCCTGCTATCTCAACCTGTTTCACTGCCATTCCTAATCCTAGTCAAATCTGGACCCCTCCGGAAGTGGGGCCCACTTGTACTCCAGAGCAACCACAGCTCTGGGGTCTGGCTTGGACGTTTTTTTGTTTTTTGTTTTTGTTTTTGTTTTTCCAGAGCAGCCTGTGCAGCGTCACGTTTGGGGGTCAGACAGACTGTTCCATGACCTAATGCCTCTACTGTAAAGAATGTGTCCCCTGAGAATCGCAGC